CTAACCTTGGATTTGAGGAGTTACAAATCTCCCCTCCTAAATAAAATTTCATCCTCAAAATTTAATCGGGTAGAAGAGGTGAGGATATTGAAGCTTCATATCCTCCTCTGTTTTCCACTCTTGTTCCTTAACTCCTTTATTTTGCTATTTAGGGTTTTGACTGGTTCCTTTATATAAGTCATATATGAGTTGAACTCATTCCGTTCTAAAGGTATGATGTTCGAATGATATGAGCAATATCTTCTGATAATAGATACATGGAACACATTGTGAATGCGCTCTAACTCTGGTGGTAAAACAAGTCTGTAAGCCACTGGTCCAATTATCTCAAGCACCTTATAAGGTCTTATGAAACGAGGAGTCAACTTGAACTTGCGCCCAAAGCGAAACATATTCTTCCAAAGGGAAACCTTAAGGAATATCTTGTCCCCAAATTCGAACTCGATATCTTTACACTTCAAATCTGCGTAAGACCTCTATCTGTCTTAAGCTTCATTGAGTTGGTTATAAATTAATCGAACATCCTCCTCGATCTCTCTGATTAAGTCTGAGCCTACAATCTTACCCTCATTGAGCTCAATCCAACAAAGTGGAGTCCTACACTTACGCCCATATAGGGCCTCGTACAGAGCCATCTGAATGTTCAACTGAAAATTGTTGTTGTAGGAAAACTCCACTAATGACAATTGGTCCTCCCAACTACCCTCTAGATTGATGATAATACACCTGATCATGTCCTTGAGGATCTGGATAACTCGTTCTGACTGACCATCTGTTTTAGGATGAAAATATGTGCTGAAGTGTAGTCGGGTACCTATGGACTCATGAAGAGCTTTCCAGGAACGAGAAGTGAAACAAGGATCATTGTCTAAAATGATAAAAGTCGGTATACCGTGCAACCTCACTATCTCACGAATATACAACTGAGTTAACCACTCTAAGGTATAGTACATCCAAACTGGAAGGAAGTGAGCTGATTTGGTTAAGCGATTTACTTTGACCCAAACTGCGTCATGTCTCTGTCTGGTCATTGGTAACTCGATCACAAAGTCCATGGTCACCTTGTCTCATTTCCACTGAGGCATCTGAATGGGCTGAAGCAAATCTAAGGGAACCTAGTGTCTCACCTTAACCTGCTGACACACTAAACATCTAGCGATAAACTCTGATACTTCCTTTTTTATGCCCGACCAATAGAATATCTGTGAAACTCCTAGTGCATCTTGTTACTGCACGGGTAAATGAAGAGTGGAATGCAATATGATTCATGGATAATCTTATTGCGCAACTGAGCGTCTGCGGGTACACACAATTGACCCCTAAAGTATAACATATCTCCATCTCGAAGATCAAAACCTAAGGCCTCACCATGGTGAACCTGCTTGATCCTAATTCTCAATCGGTCATCTAAACTTTGTAGCATTTTAACTTTACCTACCAACTCTGGCTCGACTTGTAACTCGACTAGCAAACCATCACCATTGGATAAACTCAAACATGCTATGAGGGCTAGCAACTCATTCATTGATTTTCTGCTCAAGGCGTCTGCTACCATATTCGCCTTTCTCGGATGATAATCTATCACGCAATAATATTTCTTAAGCAACTCAACCCATCTACGATGTCTAAGGTTCAACTCCTTCTCAATGAGAATATACTTAAGGCTTTTGTGATCGGTGAAGATATAACAATTTTCACCAAAAGGATAGTGTCATCAAATCTTCAAAGCGATCATTATTATTACTAGTTCAAATTCATGGGTAGGGTAATTCTCTCATGAGGCTTAAGCTGATGGGATGCGTAAGCTACAACTTTAATCTTTTACATCAAGACGCATCCAAGTTTATTCAAAGAAGCATCACTGAAAACTATGAAGTCCTTACCCGACTCTGGTTGGGTCAACACTAAGGCTTGGGTCAAGATGACCTTTAACTGCTCGAAGCTCTCCTGTCGCCTTTCATCCCAAAAAAAAGAAACTCCCTTCTGAAGTAATTTGGTTAACGGGGCTGCTATCATCAAGAAACTCATAACAAATCGAAGATAGTACCCGACTAACCCGAGAAAACTACGTACCTCTGAAATATTCTTAGTGGGCTCCCACTCAACTATAGCTTGAATTTCTGAGGGTCGAATTTGATGTCGTCAGCTGAAATGACATGACCCAAGAATGTCACATCCAATAGCCAAAATTTACACTTCCCAAATTTGGCATACAACTATCTATATCTGAGGGTCTAGAGAACAATACAAAGATGTTGATTGTGCTCATCCTCCAATCGGGAGTACACTAGGATTGGCGTTGGTGAGTCCAAACGGCATTACTAAGAACTCATAATAATCGTACCTCGTTCATAAAGTCTTTTTTGCCACATCATCGTCCTTGACTTTCAAGTGATAGTAGTCTGATCACAGATCAATTTTTGAAAAGACACATGCCCCTCTGAGCTGGTCGAAGAGGTTGTCTATCCCGGGGAATGGGTAACGGTTCTTGATGGTCAACTTATTTAACTACCGGTAGTCGATGCACAACCTCATCAACCTATCTTTCTTCCTAACAAATAGGACCAAAGCTCTCCAATGAGAGATGCTCGGTCAAATGAAACCCTTCTCTATTAACTCTTGAATATGAGATTTTAACTCCTTGAGTTTAGTCGGTGCCATGCAATAAGGTGTAATAGACACTGGGGCTGAACCTGACATGGCACTCGACAACTCCTCTAGGTACATATCGAGGAAATCTTGCACTGTTCAGACATCCTCAAGTATGGGTATTGAAATTTGGGGGTCGACTATGTTAGCCAATAAGGCCTCACACCAACTGACAATCATCTTTTGGGTTTGCATAACTGATACAATCCCTATCTGACGAGATCTCTCACTGGTCATCACCAACTTGATTCCATCGACGACTCTGAGCTTAAACTCCTGACTTTGTACCTCAAAGTGGCATCATACCCGGTTAACCAATCCATCCCTGAGATTAAGTCGAACTCCCTAAAGGATAACTCCATCAAGTCTCTTGGAAAGTTCTAATCCTGAATCCTCACTGGCCATCATCTGAAAATTTTATCCACTAAGATGTCTAAGCCTAATGGGTTAGAAACTCAAACATCTATCTCTAGGTTCTCTATCAGGATTTTTATTTCTTGAACTAAATTGGAGTAGATGTAAGAATGGGTGGAACCGGGGTCTATCAATGTAGTAACTGATAAAGAAAATACCGTAAAGGTATCTGATATGATATTTAACATATCACAATTATCAATAGATTGTACTGTATACTATCGGGATACCACTCTCGGCTTGGGTCCAGTCTATGATCTAACCATCTCATAACTCTGCTGCCCAGACGCAACACCACCTCCTCTAACTGGCCCTCGGCCTCTCTGCACTGATGGTGTCGATCGTTGAGTTGCCACTGATGTTGCGCCTTGAGCTCTTGGATAGTCTCTGGCGAATGACCCATGGAATCGCTACTATAACAACCTCTATACCTCAGCCAATATGTCCTTGGATGCCTTTTTCCGCACCTAGAACATGGGGTAAAGGTGAACCCTCTAGTAGGCTCACTAGGAACACCCCAGAAACTAAGTTCAATGTCCTCCTCCTCGAATTGGACTTGCCTCCACGACTCAAACTCTACCCAATCTTCCAAGATTGTGTTACCAGGTGTCTCAACGAACCCTGACAATCTCTAGACCTCTTGACTGAGGCCTATGATGGCCTCGTTGACTTGGACTTAATGTCTCGCTGAATTAGTGCCTCGCTAATTCGTACCTTTAAGACTATCAAGTTTCTACCTTTACTTGGTTCTTGGAGAGGAGGAATGAGCTATGAAGATGAAGATTTGAAGAGGAAGAAGATATAATAGAGAGTTGAGAAAAAGATAGTGTATCAGACGTGATATCACCAAGCAATTAAGGATTTCAGCCTTATTTTTGAACAAGGGTAAAATTGCTTCTTTGGTCCCTCCAATTCTGACTGCAGATTAAAAACACCCTTTTTAATCACTATTGGGCTTACCTCAAGCCCAAATCCTCTTTAATTTGGGTCAAGGCTTCCTACAAGCTAAGGAATTAAACCAAGGCCCATCTCGGGTTAGCCCAATACTTCTAACCCGGGATTTGGGGCGTTACACTCTCAACCACTTAACATTGAACGTTCATAACATTGACGTTCATGGTGTTCGAATATAGGATCTTAATAAATAACAACAACTCATTTACCATTGAGATCGGTTGATTCATGCATAAGAATTAAAAAGTAAAAGAATGAAATAAATTTCACCGTTTTGATATGATTTAAGAATTAAATTAATAATAACACTTATAAAATATGATCTTACATTAGTTAATATCGCAAGTAATCTATAATAACATACTAAAATCTTCACATAAATACCAAATTTTCTTTTCGTTAGAGAGAAAAAAGAAAAAGCAATACATCAGCCCTCGACCCCTTGTTAGTAGTTTACCCGGTGATTATTAGTTAAAACATAATATTATTATAAGATTCAAATAGAGTTTTTTTAAAATAAAATGTAAGATAAAAATCATAAAATATAATATTTATACTAATATAACATTAAATATACTTACAGGCAGATAAAAGGTTACATAAATATATAATATTTATATACAACCACAACGCATAAAATTATTAATAGAGATACAATAAATATATGGGAATTAGTTGTATTTTTATTTTATATATATATATATATATATAATATCTCAGCCATAAAAAAAATCTGATTAAATCTTAATATTAATGATTTACCTTTTATAATCTTTCTCATTTGTTATTTCTATATACCATAATAATTAATTTTAGCTCATTGATAAGCAAAACTCGAAAAAAATAACGTAAATTTGAATCTTGAAGAATTGATAAGTTTAAAGTTTACCGTAAAGTTACTACGCAGCATCATCCTATTTAAATCGTATCGGTGCAAGAAATCATACACACAAAAAGATGAAAGCCAAGTATAATGATGTATATTACTGTATTTTTATATGTAAATTAATGAACAAATATAAAATAATAATTAATAATACAGTTTATAAGAAAAAATTTATTGTTGGAGGTGCCTTGCCAAGCAATTCCAAATCATTCTCCAATGGAGTCAAGTTTAAATCTAAACACAAAACTCTTCTGCTATTAGATTTCTTCACAATCGGTGCCATCACTTCTTCATTAGACGAATTCAAAGAACCATGCCGATTTTCACTCAAAACAGCCCTATGCCTCCTCATATGTCCTCCCAACGCTTGTCCAATGGCAAAATCGAGCCCACAAATTGAGCACTCATGCGTCTTAGGTTTAGCCGGTGACGTTTGATTATCCGAAGCCTCGCCGTCTGCTTCCGCCAACTTGGGCCTTTTATGGCTCGCTCGATGACCTCCTAGAGCTTGGAACGACTGAAACTGCCGGTTACATGTTTTGCACTCGAAAACCCGAGTCGGGATATTATCGATCTCGGCGTGCTCGAACTCGGTTCCTCCATGTGAAAGGAGCATCAAACAATTTGCCAAAGCTATATTGTTCTCCAGTTCTCTATTGGGAAAACTTCGCTTCATTCTTTTGGGTATGGTGTGAAAATATAAGTTTGTTCTGGTATTTGGTTTTTTTGTCAGATAAAAGAAAGTGAAATGGGACTTTAGGTTAGCGTGAGGTTTGGTTTATATTTATAGGTTGGTTTTGAGGGGAGATGGGAAGTTTTGACCTTTTATGTTTGACCTTTCGGAATGACGTTTGTGCCCTTACTTACTTGTCCTATAAGGCAATGAAGTAACCGGGGATTTCAGGAATAACAAAAAAGGACTGGCGTCTGGAGGGTTTGAGTGTGAAATCAGCTCGACTCGTGTACATGTCAGCATGACCGAGTAGCTGAGCCAAGCAAGAGTCGTGAGTTGAAGCGAGTTGGAAGGACTCTTGGATATTCAATCGTCTAGATGATTCTAACTTTCTCGGCAAAAACATGGTGACTGGTCACACCGAATGACGTCTCCCACGTGGCGGTTAATAGTTGGTCCAATATTCTACTCATACTGCGTTCGTTTCCATGTGAACATAAGCCAAGAGAGTTAAAAACATGTTTGCTGACTTGATGTTGGAAAGTAATGTTTCCCTTATTCAAAATTTCACACCATATCTCGTTAATTAATAAAGTAATATTGAAATGTTTATCTTATTCAGTACTTAGGTGGAAATTTCATCTAAAGATAAGATTATAACAGAGTCAACATAATTAATATGCATCATAGTAAACAATATGCAATACAACTTGTCAAGTACATCAAGTTGTTGCCTATTCTTTCGTCACGGCTTATAATAAGATCTCCACCAATGAAATTGTAAGACCTTCACGTGAATCTTCTCCTCTGTACCTAACAGCTGTCGTGTCAAACGATTTACTGTTTGTGCTTGTATTAGCGACGACGTTAGCTTGAATTCCTGGGCATTACTATTATTTAGGTTAAACGTACGAGTTCCGACGTGTCCAAAAGAAATCTCTTTGTCTGACTGTTCCGTACACCACTAATTTACTTTACGTACTTGCATTTGTACCTACCCTTCCTTCTTTTTTCGTTTTCTTCCATTTTACAAAATCAAATGCAATTCATGCATGTAGTTTTGGAGATTCGTAAAAAAAATTAGTTGATCCTTATTTCTATATGTAATGGGGTAAGGGGAGGTAGGATAGTAGGTTGTCCCAACGTCAGGTTGAGAGCAGCTTCCGTGAGAGACTTCTAAATTATAAAATACTCTCCATGGGACTCGATCTCACGACCTTAAGTTTAAAAACCTTGCGTTCTACCAACTGAGTTGGATGGTCATTTCTAGTTTTGGAGATTCGTAAGATTGAATTAAAATTATACTATAAATCATATCAATTCATCATTAGTCGTATTATTTACTTAAAATCTCGAGTTAAAATTCTAACAATTCTTAGAATACACATGCAATGATTTTTTTAATACATGAAATGAAGTTTCTTAAGCATTGAAGTGTGCATACAAGGCAATGCTTATCTAATGGGTTGCTTTGCTTTGACTTCCATGTATTTGTTTGCGTATTTCTCGTTGCGTTTTCCACATTGAACCTGAAGATGTGAAACAAAATGAAATCAAACCTTTTTTCAAGGAAAACCGTTAAATAAAATTATGGAAACAAGTGAAGGAACGAGCAAATGTTTTGTTGGTTTTAAATTTCCATGTCTTGGTTGTTAATTAATTACTTTGAATTAAGCTCCATTTTTTTATCATTTAACAATGAACACTCATAGTCATGTATATGTTGGGTTTGAACCCACAACCTCAAGAGATTACAACAAATTATTTAATAATTGTGATCGTTTAATTCGTGCATATTTTTAAAAAAAAAATTAAATATATACTTTTTGTATTACTTTGAATTAAATAGTAATAGGAGTTATTTTTATTGTTTTAATAATGTAAGTTATTGAAATATAATTTTTTTTTAAAATTATATAAAATTAAAATATATGTGATTAAACGTGCACCTTTAAAAAAACATCATATACTTGATCAACCAAACATTTTATTGAGTATTTGATGCATTTTTTAAATCAACTTAATTAATTATTTTTACAATAATCACAACTACTTCAAATCCAATATTTTTATTTTTACCTAACTCTTATTATGACATATTGTTAGTATGCATAATATATTGTAAAAATAGAAATATTTAAAAAAATCTCACATTTTTATAGAAATCTTGAGACTTCTATTTACAAGTGTCATTATATGCAATTAAACTTATAAGATCAATTTTTTTTGATTTATGTACACAAAAATTGAGCTTAAAATATTAGTATACAATAAAGTAACAGAATTTTCCCACTGAAAAAATATTTTGTTTAAAGAATTCAAGAATATTAAATGACTTAAATTGATAATTTTTAAAATAAACAAAACTAAATTAATTTAACAACTAGAAGCTAAAGAATACAAAATTCAGTTGTAATGCAAAAAGAAAAAGGTATTAGAAGTCAAATGAAACAATTCCCTTTCTTAGAAACTCCCTAATCAGCTAACATTTATTATGTGGAAACACTGCAATGGTTTTGGTTGGTCACACAAAGCTTGACTTATTTAATTACATCATTCCCACACGTTATGACCAAATTGGCGTGAGTGGTGGACAAGTTGCTTTTAAGTTTATGCTATGTTTACTTAAATTTAGAAAAGCAAAATTTCTCAAGTATTTTGGTCGAAATACATCCCTTTGGGTCTTTTTTGAGTTACCTTTTTAGAGTGAACTACTCGACATTTCATGAAATTAATTCACTTTTAATATTTTTTTTATAATAATCGGTATCTGATCTATTGATCGACTAATTCGAATTAGGTACTGCAAAAGCAGGCGACCTTCCAAAACGCTTTTGCTCCATTCGCAAACGCTAAGATTCGAACATCTAACATTGGTTAAATGATCTAATGTTTCTTCTCACTATACCAACTTTAGCCCTTCACTTTGGTTAAAAGCGGGCGACCTTTAGTTTTAGAGGCACCTTCTTGTCACACAAAACTCCAGTTGAAGCTCTCCATTTTAGCCATCCCGCATTTATACGGTGTGTAACGTCTTCATCTACACCCCCATCTTTATGTATCATAGACCCTAGGTACTTGAAACAATCATTTGAGGGAATAATGTGTCCTTCTATGCATACTTCTACATCTTCATCGTTTTGGTTTCCACTGAAGTTTGAACATACATAATTTGTCTTTTCAATATTGATTCTTAGACCTTTTTCTTCCAAAGCAGTCTTCCAGGTAGCAAGTCTACTATTCAGCTCAGTTTTTGTTTCAGCAATTAGGACAATGTCGTCAGCGAAAAGCATACACCATGGAACACCGTCTGGTGTCACACAATAGATGTCGTCCATAATCAAGGCGAAGATGTAAGGGCTAAGAGCCGACCCCTGGTAGAGTCCGATTTCCACCGAGAATGCCTTGGTGTCGCCAACTGTAGTCCTGACGGTAGTAGTAGATCTACAGTACATATCACGAATCACCCGGATATAAGCAGTTGGGATCCGTCTCGTTTCCAAGGTCTTCCAGATCGTATCGCGGGGAACGCTATCATACGCCTTCTCAAGGTCAATGAACGCCATGTGAAGATCACTATTTTTTCCCTATATTTCTCCATAAGTCGTCGAAGTAGATGAATCGCCTCCGTAGTAGACCTGCCTGGCATAAAGCCAAATTGGTTTTCTGAAACCCTAGTAACCTGTCTCAACCTAGCCTCTATTACCCTTTCCCATAGCTTCATTGGTATGGCTGAGTAGTTTAATACCTCTATAGTTGCCACAACGTTGGGGATCTCCTTTATTCTTATAGATTGGTATCACCGTAGACTCTCTCTACTCCTCTGGCATCTTGGCAGTCTCTAAAATAATATTAAAGATGTTGGTCAACCACTTAACTCCCTCTTCTCCTATGGTCAACCACACAGTAATAGGAATTTGATATGGACCGACAGCTTTATCCCTCCCCATCTTTCTAAGAGCCATTTTGACTTCCTCAAACTCAATCCTACTTGTAGGGCAGTCATTGGTCGTAGTATGATGGTCGGCTGACCCATCAACGATATTATCTCTACAGGGAGAGGCACCATTATTAAACAAGCCAAAGAAGTAACTACCCCAAACCCTCTTAATATCATGATCTTTAACTAAAAGAACACCATTGTTGTCCTTAATAAACCTAATGCTACCTAGATCCTTTTTCCTATTTTCCCTGGATTTTGCAAGCCTGAAGATGCCGTTTTGTCCTTCCTTGGTGTCTAATCTCTTGTACATTTCCTCGTATGCTTTATCCTTTGCTTTAGCCACTATTTTCTTGGCTTCCCGATTTACGTCCTTGTATCTTTGTTTAGCTCTCGATATTTTTTCGTCGTCATTGCATTGTAGAAACTCCTTGAAGCAAGTTTGTTTTCTCTTCACCTTAGTTTGGACTTCTTCGTTCCACCACCACGATTCTTTATGTTCCTTGACCTTCCTTGTCGACAACCCAAGAGTGTTTTTGCCCACATCTCTAATGGAATTTGCCATATTTTTCCATAACATATCTGCATTATTTAATTTTGTAGTTCCAAAACTTGTATTAGACAAAACCTTACTCCTAAAGTCATCAGATGTCGCTCCATGTAAGTGCTTCCAAAGGATCCTAGGTTTATCAAGTTTATCCCTCCTATGAGTGCTCCGCCCGTGGCGTACGTGGAATACCAAAACCAAAAATCTGTGTTGTGATGCACATGCCTCTTCAGGGAACACCTTACAGTCAATGCAAGACCATCGATCCCGATTTCGAACCAGAATGTAGTCGATTTGGGTACAATATCCCCTGCTATGGAACGTAATCAAGTTCACATCTCTCTTTTTAAAGAAGGAGTTAGTGACCACCATATCATGTGCAGTAGCAAATTCATGCAACGTACGCCCCTCCTCGTTCCTACTACCAAAACCCCCATAAACACCGTCGTACCCGTCGGTTGCACTACCTATATGGCCATTGAAGTCTCCCCCTGTGAAAACTCTTTGGTCCTCTGGAATGCTCCTAAGTACATCATCTAACTGATTCTAGAAGCAATGTTTTTCCCTATCC